TGGTTCTGATGGATCTAGATGGCTTGGAGGATGCATCATACCAAGTAGGAATGGGCAATAACAAGTAGGAATGCATACAGTAAGGCTCAAATTTTATCCTACACTAAAACATCATCATCTAAAATTGAAACATATATAAACATAAAACCTCAATCTCAGGAGTTCTTGACCTTGAAACTATTGGGGGAAGGAGAGAGCAGATTCAAATAGCTTTGCATACAGATTATACTCACCAGTGATGTGGGAAGATGATGACGCTGAAGTTCATCACGAAACTGAGGCCCAGCCTGAGTATACATCTCCTGAGAAGGGAACAAAAATCAGATAAATTCCCTAACAAAACAAACTTGAATAATTGAGCAGAAAAATTCAGAAACTCTCATTCATTATCCAGATTAAAAATAAAAGATGCAATCTTCTCTACATACTATCTTATTACCTCCTCATTCTTCCAAACAACTTCTCATAGAATATTCTTTATAAGCACCCTATGTATACAACACATACCACTACTAACAAAGTCGTTTTAAATGCATAATATGATTTTCAAACTTTGCATATATCCTTCTACTAAGTTTCAGCTCAAGTTATAGGAACGCCTTAGGAATGGAAGGCGCTCGATATCCTTCTACCATTGAAGAAGCAGAGGTTGATTTGACTGGGGCTTAATTATCAAATTTATAATTAGAAGACAATGGAAATGGTTCATTAATAATTCAAAGAAGCATTAAAGCAGCATCTCGTCGTCAGAACAAAGAGTGAACAGTTTGAGCTAAATGTCCAATGTTTAGGGTAGCTTCTACCGCAGATTTGATTTGTTGCATAGCCTCTCATGTCTCATCAAATTACTCATTCGTTGCTGTCTGGTCATAGAAACCCCTTCAAGCCATCTTGCGCAGAGGAATCAATAGTAAAAAAACTGCCACCCCGTAAAACAAAATTGGAATCTTGGAGGCTCAGATAACTCCCTCAAGAGCACCATTATTAAAACTAATTTCCCTTTTCAAGCAACCCCCAACACACACACACACACACACAAAAAAAAATTTAAATTCCTGAAAAGAGCAAAGCAATAAAGTTTTTGCAACTCCGTTACTGTAGAAAATATAACAAAGTTCATATTTATCAAGACCAATGGGAAATACAGTTCAGGTTTAGACGAGTAGTCAGTAGTGTGTACAATAAAAACAATTCCACTATAAGTTTTACAAACCTCAATACATGATATAGCCGCTTCCCTTACACCATGATTTGGATCATTCAACATCTGCAAAATCTGATAATCCAAAAAAACCTAGTAAGTTGACTTGAGAAATATCAAAATTGAATGTTTCTAGTCTAAAACTATAAATATCTCTATTAACTACATTGTGGAACAAGAATGGAATTAAACAAACATGATTACCAGACAAAATCAACATCCGCTGACTTGAGAAAGTTCAAAAAAAAAAGAATATTCAAGATATTTAAATCAAATCAAAAGATTTGATTCGAAATCATTGATTCAACAGATTTATACAGTAGTGCACTTCAGTTAAGTTCATTTCCAAATATGAAAGAAATTGTTTTAAAAAATACCTATACGCACTTAACCCGAATTTCAGTTCACCAAAATTCAACTATTAAAATAAAAATATTATAATCAACAAACACTAGAATTCACCCCCAAAAAATAAAAAATAAAAATAAATTCAACAATTTCGAACCCTGCATGTATGCAATTTGGCCCAAACGACCATAATTAGATCACATATTTACTAAAACAAAATATATATCCAGACGCATTAAAGAGAAGGAGTGTGCGAGCGAACCTCCATGAGAGTGAGCAAGAGGCGCCTAGCAACGTCACGAACGGGCTGTTTAGCATCGCCTAAACGCTCAACAGTGGCAGGAACCAAGGCATTGAAGTGAAGCTTCAAGTGCTCGCCGGAGAGAACAGCGGCGGGGGCAAGAGCCTGAAGAGCACCTTGAGAAACCCTAAAATTGTTGTCCTTCAAGAGATCCAAGCAACAGTCGACGAGAGAAGTGACCTCCGACGACGACAGGCTCTTTCTGGAGGCTCCTAGAAGTTGGTGCAAGCGCTCAACACCAGCCATTCTCTCCTTGGTGTCCTTGGCTCGAGCCATCTCCAGCGCCTCCTCCATTGCCGCAATTTTCGAAGATTTAGGGTTTCTCTGGTTGGATCTGGCGGCGGAGGGCTCGGATCTGCGGTGGATTGAGCGGTTCGAGTCGGTGAATTTGGCGGAGAAACAGTGTGAGAGAGAGTGTGGGTCTGTGTGTGTGAAGAGAGAGAGAGAGAGAGAGTAAAATGGGGGTGGGAAGCTTTTGCTAGATCAACGGAGGAGAGAAGATATATCTATCTGGGTGCACTGAGAGTGCACTGAGACCTCCTAACCCGTGTAATAAGCCCAGTCCACCGCCACAAACATGACTAAAAAAATAAAAAATAAATCTCTAATTTCTTTTAATAATTGGTTTTCCGAACGCACCTCCATTAATTTCAAAGAAAGCTTGCTTGTTTTTATTTTTTAAAAAATTTTACATTTTTATTTTTTGTATTTTTATTAAATTTTTTAAATATTTTTTTGTAAGGTGATCCCTGGAGAGAGTCTGGTCTCTCAACATAAGATTTTGGTACTAGATTTATGTTTTAGAGGGCAATACCAAGCTAGGAAGGATAGTGAGCGTCATAGGACGAGATGATGGGACCTAAAAAGGGATAAAATAAAAATATTTATGAATCAAATGGATAAGGAAGATACTTGGGACTTAGAAGGTGATGCTAACACTATGTGGAACTCGATGGCTAATTGTATAAGGAGAATCTCAAGGGAAGTGCTTGGAGAGTCGAAAGAAACGGGACCCAGCTCTAGGGAAACTTGGTGGTGGAGGGAAGAGGTTCAAGCGGTAATTAAGGCAAAAAAAAAATGCTTTAAAAAGTGACAGAATGATAGAACTGAAGAAAACCACCTTGAGTTATAGATTGGCTAATAAGGAGGTCAAGAAAGCAGTGAGAGAGACTAAGTTGAAAGCTTATGATGACCTATACATTAGACTATATAGTAAGGAGGGAGAGAAGAGGGTATACAAACTTGCTAAGATACGGGAAGGAAAACAAGAGATTTAAATCAAGTAAAGTGCGTCAAGAGTGAGGATTCTAAGGTATTGGGAAGGATGATGAGATTAAGGAAATATGAAAGAATTATTTTGAGAAACTATTAAATGAGGAACATTGAGGTACGACAAATAGGGAAGAAATAGTCAGTAATACGATAAACCAAGACTATAGGTTCTATCGCAAGATTAGAAACTTTGAAGTGGAGATTGCACTTAAGGAGATGGGGTGTGAGAGAGAGAAAATGAGTGAGAGACAGATAGAGAAGAGAGAGAAAGACAGAGTGATGAGCGAGAGAGAGATAAAGAAGAAAGAGATATAGAGAGAGATAGAGAGGCAGAGAGAGAAATCGATAGAGAGAGACATATAGAAAAATAGAGATAAACAAGAGATGAGAGAGACATATAGAAAGAGAGCGAAAAGAGATGAACGATAGAGAGAATAGAAAAATAGAGATAGATAGAAAAGAGATGAGCGAGAGAGACAGAGAGAGAAAAGAGATGAGAGAGATAGAGAGAAGAGAGATGAGCGAGGGAGACATAGAGAGAAGACAAATGAGAGAGATAGAGAGAAGAAAGATGAACGAAAGACACACAGACAAACAGACAAACAGATAGATAGACAAACAGACAGAGAAATAAGAGTGATGAGTGAAAGAGAGAAAGAGAAGAGTGGTGGTAGTTGAATGGCATTTGCAGTAGTGGTAAATGTGGCAGAGAAGATGGGTAGTGAGAGAGAAAGATGAGTGAGAGACGAATAGAGAAAAGAGATAGAGAGACAGAGTGATGAGCGAGAAAGGAGACAAAGTGGTCGCTAAAAGTGCATTTTCTTGTAGTGGATCGATAAATCGATAGGGAGCTCAATAAATAAAGAAGACAGATAATTCAAAACTTTGTTCAAAACATAATTCAAATCAATTTTTTAAATATTTTAAATTTTTGTAAGAGAGCAGATAAAGAACAGAGATAGAGAGAGAGAGAGACACAGAGATAGAGTGATGAGCGAGAGAGAGATAGACAAAGTGGTTGCCAAAAGTGTATTTTCTTATAGTGGATCGATAAATCGAGAAGGAGCTCGATAAATAGAGAAGATAGGAGTAAGAGAGTGAGCAAGTCGAACATAGTGAGGGAGAAATAGACAAATAGACAAGTAGACACAGAGAGAGAAAAGAGTGATGAGTGAGAGAGAGACAGGGAGAGAGATAGACAGAAAAAGAGATAGAGAGAGAAAGAAGAGAGAGATGAAAAGATAGAAAAAGAGAGAGAAACAAGAGATGAGCGACAGATAGACAAAAAAAGAGAGAAATAGAGCGAAAAGAGATGAGCGAGAGAGAGACACAGAAAAAGAGAGAGACAGAAGGAGAAGAGAAATGAGCGAGAGAGATAGAGAGAGATAGAAAGATAAGAGAGAAAAAAAAAGAAATGAGAGAGATAGAGATAAGAGAGATGAGCGAGAGAGACAGAGAGAGAAAACAGATGAAGAAGATAGAGAGAAGAGAGATAGGCGAGAGACACAGAGCGAAAATGAGAGAGAGATAAACAGGCAGACATAGAAAGAGAGAGAGATAGAGATAGAGAGAAATGAATGAAGAGAGATAAAGAGAAGAGAGAGAGATAGAGACAGAGAGACAGGAAAATAAAAAAATGAATGAAAAAGAAATGTTATATCAAAAGAGTAAGACGACATTGTTTTTTTTAATTTTTTTTGCGACAGAAAAATACCGTTGAATTTATTCAAATCATTTTGTGACTGTATATATATGAAGCTATCTCAAAACCACAATCACCAAAATCTTTTAAAAATTCACTAAATACCAAAATACAAAAAAAATACCATAATTCAATACATTTTTTTTTGTATTTTTATGTATTTATTAATTTTTAAAAATATTTTTTCATAAATTTTTTATTTTTTAGATCATCTAAGTAAGGTACATCTAAAAAAATATTTAAAATTTTAAAAATATTCAAATAAAAAAAACAACGAAAGCCACTTTTTGTGACGGCAGAAAATGCCGTCTCAAAAAAGTAGAGTATTTGCGACGGCACCATTTGCTGTCTCAAAAAAGCAGAGCATTTGCGATGGCACTATTTGCCGTCTCAAAAAATGAGAGTATTTGTGATGGTATTTTCTGCCGTCGCAAATACTCTGCTTTTTTGAGACGGCTTTTTTCTGCCGTCACAAAAAGTGACTTTTTGAGACGGCAAGTGTGCCGTCGCAAATAGTTCCGTCTCATATACCCAGTTTTCTTGTAGTGTGTGTTGACGGTTCTTTTGCCTCAACAAAGAGGACTTCAAAATTGCCAAAGTGTAGAGAAAAGAAAAATTAAAAAAGACAGGTGAAATGTGAATAAATTATAATTATATTTTATTTACATTTACACAATTTTTTCTTCCTAAATTTGTTTCCCAAATTTATGACCAAACACAGGCTTAGTGTTTGAATAAATGGATAATATGAATTTTTGTACTAGCAAATGAGCTGTTTAAATATGATATGAATGAAAATGGAATTTGCACTCTCTCTCATAAAATATCACCTTTAATCTCCTATGCCACATAACTGTTATTCTCCTTGAAGATCAAGATAGGAACAAAACACATTTTCTTAAGATTTTGTTTGGTTCATAAACTTGGGGGCAATTTTTTTTTTTTAAATAAAGGAAGAGAAATTATAGGTGAAATGCGAATAAAATATAATTACATTTCACTTATGTTTTATACACTTTTTTCCTTTCATTTTTCAAATCTTTTTCTAAATCCATGAATCAAATACCTATCTTGTACCTAACATTCTACTTAAGCTAATTGAGAGATAGATACTCTGGTTTGCCTCAATACCTATCTTGTACTCTAACATTCTACTTACCTTCATAGTTGTCAAATTATGAATCGAATCGAATCATGAATCGTAAAAATTTAGTTAATTTTTAAAAATTATTTAGAAAAATATATCTATACATTTAGATATTTAATATATCTTATAAATATAAAATATTTAAATTTAAATTAATAAAAATGTTATTTTAAATGATAATCATGTGGTCTAATAGGTAAGAAGTTAATACAAATTTTCATGTAAAATTAGCATTTTACATTTTTTTCTTTTTTAGATATTGCTTATTAACTATTCTTAATAAAGAAAGTAAACAAAGGCACTTTTAATTTTTAAATAATAATAACTTAACAACGATATTAGATATTTCACAGGTATACAAACCTTTACAAGTAACAATGACCCAATATAAAAAAACAATTAATTAGAATATTTTATTTTAAAGACTAAAATATTTTAAAAGATATATATACTTATTGTTTGAACAAGTATTTTTTTTTTAAAAAAAAAAAGAATTTTTAGGACCATTAGGTTTATCTAATCTCACCCATTTGATTGTGAATCGTGTGATTCACTATAGATTTACTTTCAAAATAAATTCATTAAAAGATTCGTATCGATTTCACAAAAAATTATAAATTGAATTGCGAATTGAATCATGGACAGTAAAATTTTGATATTAGAGCTTACATTTGTATGTTCACTACCATTGCTTACTTCTCCTTCTCCACCATTTGTATGTTCACTACCATAGCTTACTCCTCCTCCTTCACAATTAAACTTGGCCTTGTACTCACTCCACAGCTGATCAACTGGTTTCCCCAACAGCTCAAAAAGTAATTCAGACTAAAAGCATACCTCATCTTCATGTTCAGCATCACCACAAAACCAGGCCTAATATTGTTATAATACTCCAAAAACTACGCTGTAACGCCATAACCCTCATCCCATCTGTTCCTAGTGCCAGGCTCTGCATAATTAGGCAGATAATAGTTGGCCTTGAAGACTGTATAATCAACAATACCTGTTGGAGAATTTTAATTAGAAATAAAAATCAGAATAATGATAGGGTTTTATAATGGAAACGACTCTTCATGGATTGAAGTGGCTGAGATTCTTAAGGTGTGTGTGTGGCTCTCTTGGTGAAAAAGACAATTTATCCCTTGTTCTTACTATTTTGCTAGACTAACAATACCTTCAGTGAATCCAACAGGGGCCTGGTTGTTCCCAGACCATTGCCAACTGTGTGTCATCTCATGATAGATCAAATTAGTGAATCTAAACTTCAAATTTCGTTGGAATTCTTGCAAGAATACCGCACTGAAGTTGATGCTGTTGTCATATCCCATGGCTTTGGCGCCTTGGTAGTTCTCGATCACCATCAGAACTCTCTGGTAGTCTTTGCTGTCTATGTCAGTGTGTTCCTCATAGAGCTTCCATATGAAGTTTGTGGTGGTTTCCATTGTCTGCTTGGCAAACTTGACACCAATCTCATTTGTGAATCGAACTCCTCTTAGGGTTGTTGATATAATGTGCTTGTTTAATTTTGTATCCAAACAATCATTTATACTTATTATAATTCTAGTTATGTTTTGGGTTGGGTTTTGTTAATTAGAGTTAATATATGTGGAGGAAATTTTTCCAGATGTTTTATTGGTACTTGGGTTGAATAATTTCATATATAAAACTTGTAAGGGAAGCCAAAAAGTTAAGAGAAAAATTGCAAACGGGGTTGTAACAGTGACCCATCTTCTCCCTTATTTTGGCTCTTCTTTTTCTCTATTTTCTGTAGAAAAAATTAGATCCAATTTTGTGTGTTCTAGATTGATTCCTTTGTAGTTTAAACACACATCTGCTTCCAAACACCCAACATAAAGTGGTATCAGATTCTAGTTCGAAGTGGAAGCTTGGATTCGAAAAAGAGGGCTGAAAATAGAAGGTGTGTGGGTTTTGCAAAAAATCTCCATGGCTAACTCCAACAATCAAAGTATAGGTATCCAGCAACCATCTATGCCCATTTTTGCTGAAGAAATTATGATTATTGGTTTGTGAGGATAAAGACCTTATTTCAGTCCCAAGGTTTATGGAACTTGATACAAAATGGGTATGATGAACCCGATTC